TTCATTCAATGCCTTGTTAACCCATAACATTACAGATTTAAATTTGAAACTATCATCAAATTATTTATCAAATAATTATTTTATTTTATTCTCTTTCTAGCTGTATTATCTTATTTATCAAACAAACAGTACTTTAGTTTAACAAAAACTATTTCAGCGGAATCGTACCATTTCAAACAAACAATTTTGCCTTTATTTGATGGTATACGTGACAGTACGGAAGAAAAAATAAAAAAATTATATGACCGTCTAATAAATTATTGGCTGATTTTCATTTTTTTTACTGAGTGTTGAAAGTAAGAGATGCAAACATGCCATTCAGTTAATTAATGAAGTTGAATCTAACAGCTATTTTTAGTAAAAATTATGATGCACAGTAGAAGTTCTTATATAATTTAATTAATATAATAGGAAACTTCATTTATTTCTGAGCTATCTGGGACAACAGGCCGTAAATCCCATAACCTCTTTTATTTTAATGACCTAGGTGATTAAAAGTACTTATACCTTAATGAAATCAAACCAAGATAATTTTTACTTTGACTAATGCTGTATGTAATTCTTGCATAAAATACAATAATGTCACGTTGTATCGTCGACATATGCAAACCTATACATGTAAAGGGACTGCACTCTCTTTAAAAGCTGTAGCGCACGCGCTGTATCGTGACTGTTTGTACTTGTAACAGCTACGGCTGAGGCTCATTAGTCAATATNTTGGGAAAAAATTTATATAAGTAAAATGACCGTTCTTTAAATAAATTGAGACTTTCAAAGAGAAATAAATATAAAAACAGAGTTTACAGGGTTCACAAGGTTAGTAATTTTACTAAATTTAGTAGAATATTTTACCAAGACAACAGCTATTTTTGAAATCAGTGATATTAATACACACATTAGATTTCTACAAATGTCTATTACCCAGCTAAAATTCAATATTACCGATTCAGAACTCGACTATCACACTTGCCAAAGCTACGATAACTTTATTAAAACCAAACAAAACATTGTTTACGAAAGATAAAATTCTATACTATATAAAAAACTCAAAAAAATTCTACCCCTGAATGACATTGAATTGAACACTTATAATGCGATATGCTATCTAACGAGCTCAGTCATTTCGAATAAAGTTGCAGAACTTGTGTTTCTTGGACCGAAATTCAATATACCTTTAAGATTTCATGAACGTCATTGATTGTGTGTCATAAAAAACCTCGAAGTTTGTCTCTCACATCTCGATACTAACGAACGAGAATAAACAGTAATCTGTGAGAAAGTATCACAACAAATTCTCGATACACACATAAACCAATATGTTTAAGTAAGAATCTTAAATACGTAGAGAAACTAAAAATTACAAAAAATTTTTATGTAAAAAGCCAGATATTTTTTTCACTTGTGCTGACAAGGGTAATGTAACAGTATGCCTCAATATGAGTATATATTCCGCAAAAATGCACCAACTGTCTGGCACAGCGACTTATAAAATTATTTCAAAAAATTCCTGTGTTTAAAAAAGGTTAATAATAAGGGTTTTTTTTCCAGAACTTATCATTTCAATGCTCTGTCTCTCACTGATAGTACTCTAGCGCAGTGTAATGGGCTGCCGAAAATTCACAAGGTCGATGCTCCTTTGCATCCCATCGCATTTCTGATTAAGAGTCCCACATATATTTTCTTACATTTTGTTCGTTAATGGTAAAAGTGTATTGTACATTATATCGTAGTGCGTACGTAACTAACACAAATATTTCTGGTAGCCTGATGTGGCTGACACAAATAGTCAGCGAAACGTTGCTGTAATAAAAATAAGAAATAAAAATACTTGAGGTGTGATTATTTCTTGTAGCTCGCCCCCAACAGATTATCTATTTTCTTACTTTTCAGTTTATTGGAGGGCACTGATATTTCTACACAACTAAAAATATTTATGCCCATTTTGAGCAGTAAAACGTAATAAATTGTAATCTTTCTTACTAAGGATTATTATTAATTACATTATTTATTAACTATGATCTCCTACTGAATTGAATACTAGACCAAAGTATTCTTAGTCAAAATATGACGTACATAGATTACTATATATTATTAGCAATAAAATACTAAAGATTGAAGAATAAATCACATGACTAATGGTATACTTCAAAAAGCTATTGTTATTATTTAACATTTTTAGACAATTGTATAAGACAGATTACATAAGCTGCTGGATCTAATTTTTTCAGATTTAGAGATTAAACACGGATAAAGAATAATAAATACTTAATATAACCATAGTAATACTTAAAACGACTACACGTTGATTTCGCTATCACAGACAAATTAGTTTGAAAGTGTGAATATAAATCTTTGTTTTGCACAACAAATAATTTGGTGATCAGGAATTAGTTGTTTCTAACAAAAAGTAATTGTATAAATTCTACAAATCAATTTTTGTTGAATTATTTGTATGAAGAATTTTATTTGTCACTTATTAGTCAGATTGCGTATTTAAAAAAAAACTAATAATGTGATACAATAATCTGCGGAATATGCTGTTTCATGAAAACAAAATTATTACTCTTTTAGTTTTTAGGCACAACTAATACTGAGGAGTGTCTTATAGTTTTGCGAGAGCAAAAACTGTAAGTACGCTTAAAACTTATTGTTTTTGCGTAAAAAAGTTTTTGGTAAAAAAATTGTGACCGTGGACCTTGACTTCAGGGGTGTATGTATGTGTGTATGGGCATAGTCGAGTTCTTTAACTAATTCATGCAGTTTTTGTTAGATTAAGCTTAATTGTGACAGTAAGCTTTGTCTTTAATGTCTCACGTGATGGTTTGAAACCGCCAAAGTCTCTTGTTTCAGAAAAATAAAGGCAGTCATTTTAAAATTGTAGTTTCAGTGAAAAAAAAAAAAACAGTTTTTGGCTACAACTTTAGGATGTGATATTTTCTATGTTTACTGTAAAAGACGAGATTGCGACGCAGTGTGATAATAATAGTAATACACTTCCTCATTTTAGTTGTGCCTTATATATGTTCTTGCATAAATTTAGCAGCTTGTTTTACTTATTTTTTTGTATGAATAAAACAAAATTGAATCTTTTGATAAAATGTTAAGAAATATAAGAAATGGTATGTAAGTATGAAAGTTTTTTTCTCTCAGCGTTTAGCAAAAAACTGAAGAACAGGTCCGGCAAGTTATGTAATACGTTATGGATAATTATAAAATATTCAAAATAATAATGACAGCTATTCGAATTATAACGTAAGCCGTGTTACTCGTTTATTTCAAGTTAAATAACTTATTTTAAATAATATTTAGTTCTTAAGAAGACAATCAAGTACGTCATATATAATATATAATAGTTAACTTCAGACTGCTCTATTCTAACATTTTTATTTCCTTAAAATCGTGCTTAATACAATAATGTTTATCAGTTCTAACAATGAGTAAATAAAATACTGAAAAACTAGTTTAATTTCTAATTGACATCTAAGTAAGATTAAAAATTGGCCAAATAGCTCATCTAAGAAAAAGTAAGAAATCAGTACCTCATGCTTAAAAATAAATATTTGTTTAAATTTTTTACTTATCCTGTAGTAATGGACTCCATTACTTTGTACTGCTGGAAATTGGCATAAAAATTTTTAGTTGAATGAAATACATTAGTTGATAACTATTTGCTACTAAATTATTTTATTTGAAAAGTATGAGATAACATCAAATTTGCATAACTTTTTACTTTTGTTGAAAAGTAGTTTCTTAAGGTTTTTCATCCAAGTTAATTAATTTGCCGTTTTCATTCAATGCCTTGTTAACCCATAACATTACAGATTTAAATTTGAAACTATCATCAAATTATTTATCAAATAATTATTTTATTTTATTCTCTTTCTAGCTGTATTATCTTATTTATCAAACAAACAGTACTTTAGTTTAACAAAAACTATTTCAGCGGAATCGTACCATTTCAAACAAACAATTTTGCCTTTATTTGATGGTATACGTGACAGTACGGAAGAAAAAATAAAAAAATTATATGACCGTCTAATAAATTATTGGCTGATTTTCATTTTTTTTACTGAGTGTTGAAAGTAAGAGATGCAAACATGCCATTCAGTTAATTAATGAAGTTGAATCTAACAGCTATTTTTAGTAAAAATTATGATGCACAGTAGAAGTTCTTATATAATTTAATTAATATAATAGGAAACTTCATTTATTTCTGAGCTATCTGGGACAACAGGCCGTAAATCCCATAACCTCTTTTATTTTAATGACCTAGGTGATTAAAAGTACTTATACCTTAATGAAATCAAACCAAGATAATTTTTACTTTGACTAATGCTGTATGTAATTCTTGCATAAAATACAATAATGTCACGTTGTATCGTCGACATATGCAAACCTATACATGTAAAGGGACTGCACTCTCTTTAAAAGCTGTAGCGCACGCGCTGTATCGTGACTGTTTGTACTTGTAACAGCTACGGCTGAGGCTCATTAGTCAATATTGTGCTCTTAACGGAATTAAGGGAAATTTGACAGTTTTGGACTTGAATATTGTTTCTTCTTTCATACAGGTGTGTGTGTGTGTATGTGTGTGTGTGTGTATGTGTGTTGTAATACACTTATTACGCTTGTTGTAGAGTATAATGATAAATTATTACTCATTTTTTACAGAGAAACAAAGTTAATTCTGTTATTCTAAATTGCCTATTATTGAACAATATCGAATTTAATTACTGTTAAATTTGCATAACGTGCGTATTGGATGGGAGCTAAATATTGACGTATACGCCTCAGTCGTAAGTGTTACAAGTACTTACAACTTTAATTAAACGCGTGCGTAAAAGATTTTAAAGTATGTAATCCCATTATGTACATATATTGTTACGTTTTTATGAAGATTCATTAAAATAATTATTTTCATTACAACACTAGTGATAAGAAAAAAGGAGGTGTAATTAATTTAATATAATTTTAATAAAAAAATTTTGTTTTTTATGTAGCAAAACGAAACCACCATCAAGTAGTTTGAGCTCACCACTATCTCCTGTTACAACGGGAATATTATCCGGCTCGTCGTTAGATGCATCTGCAATAGTAACTCTACAACAGAAAGAAAAGTCTACCATTGATGAACGGAAAACTTCATTCAGATTATAAGTGCGTTACGGTGAAGAATCTGAGTTTTATATTGCATTAAATTTGTAAGCAAAATAAAATAACGATAGACTAACATTTTTAAAAAGTATAAAATATTTTAAATTAGTTTGAAAGTGTGAATATAAATCTTTGTTTTGCACAACAAATAATTTGGTGATCAGGAATTAGTTGTTTCTAACAAAAAGTAATTGTATAAATTCTACAAATCAATTTTTGTTGAATTATTTGTATGAAGAATTTTATTTGTCACTTATTAGTCAGATTGCGTATTTAAAAAAAAACTAATAATGTGATACAATAATCTGCGGAATATGCTGTTTCATGAAAACAAAATTATTACTCTTTTAGTTTTTAGGCACAACTAATACTGAGGAGTGTCTTATAGTTTTGCGAGAGCAAAAACTGTAAGTACGCTTAAAACTTATTGTTTTTGCGTAAAAAAGTTTTTGGTAAAAAAATTGTGACCGTGGACCTTGACTTCAGGGGTGTATGTATGTGTGTATGGGCATAGTCGAGTTCTTTAACTAATTCATGCAGTTTTTGTTAGNTTAAACAAGTATTTAATTTCTACAGAAATGTACAGTTAAAAAAAACATCATATGATTTTTGTAAATTATCATACATTGTTTTCAACTTAAAAATAATGTTGACAAAGATGGTGAAATGCTTCAAAATTCAATACATTATTAGTGAAATAAAAATTTTTTTCGGTTCAAAACTTTTTTTTCTTGTTCTTAGATATTCAAAATAACTGTATAAATAACTTTTGACTCTGATCTGCACTGATTGATGATTAGTGGTTGAATTTCTGATAGCCACACAAATTCAAAATAAAAAAAAAAAATATCTTGAGCCTTATTAAACAAGCATGAGAGTTATTGCCTAATGTTTAATGCAATTAGTTGACAATTTTTCTTTAATTTGAGCTATTTTTACCAATTTTATTTATATATCAATAAGTTTCTATTGTGCACCTGAAAGTTATGACTTTGTTTTCAACGAGCGATTTTCTCAAAAGAAATATGCCTTAAAGAGTTACTCTTGAAGATTTATAAGATTAGCCATTAACAAATTTATTTACTCAAGTTAACAATATTAAATGTATCTTTGGACATTCATTACAGCTATCGATACTTTTTATACGACATTAATAATCAGAACAAAAAACAAATCAAAAATTTTAGTAAGACAGTTTTTTCTGAACATAAAAAAAATTGTTTCACGATGAACTCAAAAAAAATAAACGAATTTGAGGCAAATTTGATTACTAGCACGTTTTGAAATTTTTTTCTTGAAAGAAATTTGTCCACAACGTTTTTCTACGTGCGCTTAAACTAAAGGGATAAAGATATCACTGGAGAACAAGCTAAACAAGATCACAAAAAATGTTTTTTTTTCTTTGCTTATTGGAAAAACGCGTTGCCATTAGAGTGTTGTATGTAAAGAGAAGAAAGGGAACACCATAAAAATTCATGATAAAATAAATCTTTTTTAAAAAAGTATAATACTTGCGATACTTTTCAAAAAGACTTTGTGTATATACTTATTTTTATCTGTTATTGTAAACTGCCCAGAAGGTAAATACGTAAACTCTTGTACATAAAAAATATGAGTACTCATTATCTTTCTTACTATATAATATAAACAGAAAATAATGTATCACTATTAAATTTTAATCGAAGCGTAAGTATGTAGTTCTTAGTAAGCTAATTTTTTTATCATTATTATGGTAAAACTATGTATAAAAAATTAATTTTTCTGCCCTCGGGTGATTTTGGGAGGCTGGTACTTCCTCGGGCAAAAAAGCAGTTTTCCGATACTCGTTCGAAAAGTCTCCTTTACGAACCTCGTTACGGACCTCGCCTTCGGCTCAGGCCGCAAACCTCTTAGTTCGCAAACAAAGACTTTTCAAACTCGTAGGAAAACTACTATTTCGCAATAGTATGTAGAAAATAGGTGTTTTTCGCACTGATATTAGTGTGAAAAATCGATATTCCCACATAGTGTGCGGAAAAGGTCTGCGAAAAATATTTACCGCACAGTGTGCGACAAAAACCTTTTCCACACACTTTTTTCGCACACTATGTGGAAAAATTGATATTTCGAAAGTTATACAAAAAGCTGCCTAAGCTCGTCTTCTACAGGCCATACAAAACGCAGGAGACTCACTTGACAGGCCATACGGATTAAGGACAGGAAGGTCTACCATAGGAACAGTGGAAGAAGAAGTAAAAGCAGTTCAAAGCTCTCAAGATATATGCCACAAAGTGAGACCCTTCGTTCTTCTGGTGACCTTGGATGTAAAGAGCGCTTGTAACTCGGCAAAATGGAAGAACATGCTTTACGCTCTAAAATACACATTTAGAACACCACCTTATCTCTTGAAAGTATTGAGAGATTATCTCAAGGACCGCTTTTTGACGTATACGAAAACAGAAGGCGAAACAAAGAAGAAAATAACTGCAAGGGCATTCCAGGGTTCCATACTTGTACCCAACCTCTGGAACGTATCATACGACAGACTACTCCACCAGGAAATGCCAGAGGGGACATTCTTAGTAAGATACGAGGACGATGCTGCTGTAGTGATCGTCGAATGCACGATGGAGCTTGTCCAGATACGACATTACCAGGTTATGCGGAGAGTGGCTCCATGGATGGAAAACCACGGACTCGAAGTGGCAGCAGGAAAGACGGAGATGGTACTATTGACGAGAAAAGAGATAGATACCATCATCCCCCTTAACGTACAAGAAGAAGAAGTAATGACGAATAATGCCGTAAAATACCTAGGGGTGACGCTGGATAGAAAGCTCACGTTTTGGAGCCGCTTTAGGCAGGCAGCAGACAAGGCGGTGGCAAGAGTAGTGGCATTAAGTTGAATTATGCCGAACGGTAGAGGTCTAAGGCCTGCAAAACGCAGGCTTCTTATGTCTATGGCCTAGCCTATAATTTTGTACTGGGCTGAGATATGGAGAGATGAGATGAACGTCAGAGAGAAGAGAGTGAAAATTGGTTAAGTTCAAAGAATAGGAGGCTTGAGAATAGCCTGCGCCTATCGGACAGTCTCAGAGTCTGCGATAATGGTGATAGCGGGCGTAATATCCATCGACCTCCTTGCAAGGGAAAGACGATTAAAGCACCTTACGGAGCAGGACCTAGGAAGAGTGGAGGCCAAGAAAGACGCCCGAGAAATCACCTGGGAACGCTGGCAACATAGATGGCAAGAGGAAACTAGAGGTCGATGGACGGTACGCCTAATAAAAGATGTCAAGGAATGGACTGAGCGAAAATACGGGAAAGTAGATTACTACCTTACTCAATTTCTCTCAAATCACGGGTATTTTCACTCATACCTCAATTTAATGCGGAAAACACAGACGGCTGCTTGCAAGTACTGTGGCTACGACAGAGATGACGCAGAACATTTGTTCTTTGACTGCATCAAGTCGCAAGCCGAACGAAACGTGCTGCAGAAAAGGGTCGGAACTTCAAATCCCAACAACGTCATAGATAAAATGCTTCTCAACAAAGAAATATGGACTGCAGTAGCCCGATGCATACATAAAGTTCTCCAGGCCAAAGAAGAGGACGGTTTTCTGGACAACTGCGTGGACGTGGTGTGAGCGTGGATCCAGTGCCATCGTGGGGGCGTTGGGTGGTGTTTTTGCTATGGCACCTGGTGGCTTCAGGGGGTGGGCTGATGTCGGGTCTCTGGGGTTGGGGCTGCCAGGGCGTGGCTGCAGGGTGGTTGGTGTGTGGGATAGGGGCCTGCGTGGGTGCTTAAACGTGTGCAGGCTTCCTCAAACCGCTTCGCTCTATTACCTTTCTACCGATAAGCGGCTGTGGCCTGGCGGACGATGCTTTTGGGTGCTTCGCTTCCGCTACCCTACCTTTTTTTTTTTTTTTTTTTCGTTGGGGCTGGCCTTCTGAAAGGTGTTCGCAAGGTGGTCGGTGTCTGGTATGGTAGCTTGCGTGGGTGCTTGAACGTGGGCAGGCTCCTGACGGCCGCTTTGCTGTATCACCTTTCTACCAATAAGCGGTTGTACCTCGGTGGCCTAGATTTCTGCCCTATCAACAATATTATCAACAATGATAATAATTTTGCTTATAAAAATAACGATGATGATAATAATGATAATACTAATAATAATGAAAATCATAAATAATTGAGATAATAATAATTATATAACAATAATGATGACAATAATAAGAATTATAATGGTTATAAGGATGACGATAATGATAACGATGTTGACGATGTTATTAATGATAACACTAACAATAGTAATAAAAGTAATAATGATAATAATAAACAGTAAGATAGGCATAGTGTTCAGTTTAATTATGTTAAAGATAATTATTAGAGTAATAATAAGTATAATAATGATGCAATAGAAATGATATTATTGAATGTAGTCATACTTATGATAAAAATGTTCATAATGATTACAATATTGATAAAAATATGTATTATAATAATAACGATAATAATGATGCGAGAAATATTTATGGGGATAATAATGATGATGACGATAATTGATGAGTAAGAATAATGTAAATTATCACGATGATGACGAAGATGGTATCGATGATGACTATGTTATTAATAATAGTGATAATAATAAGGAAAATGATATAAGTAATAAAAATAATGATGATATCAATAGAGATGATAATAATGTCGATGATGATAATAATAATTATTATAATGGTATCGATGAAACTAATAATGATCATGATGATGATATTGTTACGTGGGAAAGAGATAGGTAGGAGGTGCGTTGCGAGAATGACCAATAATTGATTATATCAAGAGCTTTATTTAAATTACCGAAATTAAAGGCAAAGTAGCGCGAGTATTTCCCTCAAAGGCTCGTCGTGTACCCTTAATTTCCGAATTCGTGAATGCCCGACTGCTCGACTCCTTGCCTCTTGACTCTTGACTTCCTGACCGGTTGACTGCCCGAGTGCCGCCTGAGTCCCCGAACGCCGCCTGAGTGCCGCGATTTGAGGCTGGCTGGGTTTTGTATTAGCTTGTTCCCAACCTGTTGA